ATAAAACTAAGAATATAAAATCTGTTATAATAATGTAGGAAGAAGGCCTACAAATTGTCATTCAAAACTTGGAACTATTTCACAACAAGCAGTTTTCAGACATTTAAAATTAACGAACAGAATATAATTTGCTCCATATTGTGAGAGACAAAATTAGAGAAATTAAGGGAATGATCACTGTTTAGTCCTTCAGTCCATTTATCTTTACTAAATTCAATAGTCTCCAAATACACATTCTGTTTCTTTCAAGAAAGACTCGTAAGATACATAATCATAATTAGATACATAATAAAAATCCAAAAACAAATAAATAAGTTTTGATTGGGTCTACAAAATGCAAATATTTGATTGTATTATTCCTTCTATTCTAATACAGCAGGTACCAACAGAATTCTCACATTAAGTACTAATAGCAAATAGTATTTGATTTTAGTATGTTTTGGAATAGAAAATAAGGTTCTGAACAGAAAACCATTCATCAAATTATTGTTCATAAGTAACAAACATGCTACAATCAAATGTAATATCTAAGAAATTTAAAAATTTATTACAACGACAAGAGCAACTAGAAAACTCTTATCAGATTTTAATGTGTCAAAGCTTTCTTATACAACCTTCAGATATATTTCAGTTTTTATATAAGCAAAATTAAAACCTTTAAATTCAGGTTACCAGAATACTTTTCTAGCTTCTCTTGTGAAGCCTGATCCATCCTGAAAGCCATTGAATTAGCCTCCCAAAATGGAGAAAACCGCAAAATAGTAATTCACTCAGACTCTATGGCTACCTTGAATGCAATAGTCAACAGGTTTTCTAAAAATCCCATAATTCAAAGAATCCAAGAACAGTTATTTACACAAGAAAACAACGAAACCTTCAACTCTATTGTTTGGACTCCAGCACATAAAGGTTATAGAAGGTAATGAAAAGGCAGAAAAAGCGCCTAAAGAAGCAACTTCATTACCAACAACGGACCAGAGAGTGAAGGGAGTTCTCTCCAATATTGAACTATATATTAAAAATGTGGTTAAGAAACAGTGGAATGAAAAATGGCTGACTACCTTCTCCAAACTACACCTCGTATGGAAAACCATTATTGAACAATATACAATAATATATATATATAATATATATATATATATATATAATATATATACTATATATATATATAGTATATATATATATATATATAGAATATATATAATATACATATATATATATATATATATTATATATATTATATATATAATATATATATAATATATTACTATAACACATATACCATATACATATACAATAAAATACGTCGATGTATAACAATAGATCCTTCAAACATGTTATTAATATCAAAACTTGTGCAACGTAAATAAATATGTGTACCCATCCCAATTATGTAAGTACCTCTCGAAACTCCAACTCACTAGATTCCAACAAGTCCAAATTACCAGACTAAGTATTGGCCACTTTAATCTCTCACACATTCACCTAATAACAAAAGCTGACCCAGTACCCTGTCCTAAATGTGGATCCCTAGTATCTACATCCCTTATTATTCTGAAGTGCTCTGAACTAGCCCTTATGAGACAGTTCTTAAATTTAAAAGACTCTCTATATAATTCCTTCTCGTCTACAGAAGAAAGTATAAATGTCTTACAACTTTTAAAAACATCAAAAATTGATACCTTAATATAGAGACCCTCCTTCACCTATATCTCATATACAATAATCCTTCAAACATGTTGTTAATATCAAAACTTGTGCAACGTAAATAAATATGTGTACCCATCCCAATTATGTAAGTACCCACAATATTAATACATTTTGACCATTTATATGCTTGTATGAATTGTATGAAATTGTATAATGGCATAACTGTAAAAAATGTATATTCTTGTGTAAATTATAAATTGATTCTCGGGGTTGCATATGACCCAGTTGTTGAAAAGTGACCTTAAATGAATAAACTTTAAAAGAAGTATTAAATTCATTGAAATACATGTACCACATATATTTTATAAAACACTAATATCATTTAGGAAATTACCATTTGATTACCTACACTAAAATTTCCAATGTGCACAGAAATTGAAATAAAATTATGCAACCTCCAGCTATCAGACGGGTCTACAATTTTGTTAGGTTCTCCAAATTTTAAAAAAAAATTTAAAATCATGAAATAGCTTTGATATTGACAAAAAATGCAAATATTTGATTGTGTTATTCCACCCATTTTCATACGGTAAGTAGGTACCAATTAATTCTGTGTGTCCAATAAGTCAGTCACTGCTTATAGCACAGCAGACATCTCATGACAACATTGTGCCAGGGGAGAGGTTCTGTATTCTGGTTGAAATATTAGAAGAAGCTGACAAAGCCAAGTAAGTACATGTACGAAAAGTAAGGACATGTATTTGAAAAAGTATGAATAATTCATGTTAATGTTGGAAAGGGGAAAAACAGTTCGGTTCTGACTTGGGCCTTTTGCTGGTGTACTTTTCAGAGCAAGTTAATGTAACTGATGATTACATTTTTTATATTTGTAATATACTGAGACCAAATGTTTTACACACAACATATTTATTCATGTTAAATATTTTACTTGTTCCATTAGTCGGTTAGTACCAAACCATCATGTTTGTATTCATAGTTGTTTATGTGAAGAAGACGTGGCATGTAAAGGAGAATATAGATAATTTAAATTATAAACAATTTACTTGATTTTGTAAAAAAATAAAGGAATTTTGCCAAAACAACTGTTTTGAGCTGCCATGTTCAAATAGGTGAAGTAAACATAACTGTGCAATATAAAGCAACTTCTGGGACAGGATGATTGATGCCAAGTGTAAGTAAGGTAATTCAACTTCTTGAACTCAAATATTAACATGAATGTCTAAGAAGTAGTAATAATTATTAATTTATAATTTTGATTCATTTATAATTTTGATTATATGTTATTGATGTATGTAATCTGTGATGTACATTTTTGTTCACGTTTCATGGCCGTCTGGAAACACCTTTTGAATTGAATTGAATTTGTCTTATTTTACGTGTCGAGACTCGGACCATCATGCCCGCTCTTCCGTCTGACCATGCAAATTTCGCTATGCTCCTTTCATCAACTAGCAGAGAAAGGAGGTATTTCTTGGGAGAGAAACAGGTGACTTGAATTTAGCTCAGAGGCGTCATTTAGGCTTGAGGATCTTTTACATGCAAGTAAATCTACTAACACTGGATAGCTGGCTTTACTTCCCCTAAGGATTTTTTCACCCTTAAAAATCCACGGCTTCGATCAGGTTTGAACTCGCGAACTTGGGTACAACAGTCCAGTACGCTAACCGTTACACCATCGCCACCGCACACCTTGGCTATGTTAGTGTTATAGATACATAATTAAACAATTTCGATCAGTTCTCAGAGTTCTAATTGGCTGTCGTGCACTTTTTCTTGCACGGTGAAGGTTTGTGCAATAAACCGAGATAATCAACTATTTTTCATAGAATTAATGAGCATATTTAGTCAACTAAACCAAAAAAATATTTTCATCAAGGTTTAATAATTTTAGCTTTATATGCCCTATAAGATGATCTCCAAACTATCAACGGCTTATAAATTTAGTTTAGATCAGTGATCATTTCTTACAGCTGGCTTCATCACAGCATATTAGGCAGCACATGCTTTTGACATACGTTGCACTGAATAGGGATTTTGGACATTGTAAAATGGGATGTTATTTAGGTATATCTAATACTATGGATGGTACTGATGACTATTTGCAAGAGGATACCAATCAAGAGAAAGTCAACTCATTAAGTACAGATTAGGATCAATATCCCACTTCAACTTCCCACAATGATAGTGAAATTGTTCTTCAGGAACTATTTCCTCAGATAATGAATGTGAGAATTTTCAATATTTTTGGAACTGACATACTAGATGATTTTGTATTTTGTGGGTCTTTTTGTGGTACCTACTTTCAATGTATTTCCATAAGTAATTCCTCAACAAACACTTCTTGAATCATAATAGATTTAATTTATTGAATTCACATAAACATTATGGTTGCAAAGTATTAATTTACATATATTTTGCTCTTGTCTTCATTCCATTGTAATTCTTTCCCTTTTTATAATGCATATTAAAAGGCTGTAGAGGCATTGGTACTGTTTGTTCTATGCTTGTTATTGATGAAACATATCAGGCAGTAAGTTAGTGCGTATGAATAAATGAATAAGAAATACACAAAAAATTAATTTAAACATACATGAGTAAAAATGACTAGAAATATATACAAATGAAAAATACAAATGTATATGAATGACAAATTACAACTATATACATGTGAACGCATATGGAAAAAGAACTACAAATTTGTATGTATGAGAAACAACTACAAATTTGTACGTATGAGAAACAACTATAAATTTGTACATATGAGAAACAACTATAAATTTGTATATATGAGAAACAACTATAAATTTGTACATATGAGAAACAACTATAAATTTGTACATTTGAGAAATGACTACAAATTTATCGCATGAAAAACCGACTACAAATTTATCACATGAAAAACTGACTACAAATTTATCGCATGAAAAACTGACTACAAATTTATGTGTATAAAAAAACATGACCTCAAATTTACACATATGCAAAAAATGAATATAAATATCTACATATGCAAAAATGAAGACAAATATACACATATGCAAAAATGAATACAAATACATGTATATGCAAAAATGATTACAAATACATATATATGCAAAAATGATTACAAATACATACATATGCAAAAATGATTACAAATACCTACATATGCAAAAATGTTTACAAATACATACATAAAAATGATTACAAATACATACATAAACAAGAATGATTACCAATATATACGAACCAAAATGACTACTATTACATATATATGAAAAAATGATCACAAATATGAATATTTGACATGTTAAACCTTACAAAAAAATGACCTAAAATATACATGTAAGAAAACATTTATACAAATGTATGTGACTGAAAAAATGAATACAAATATATATATGGGTGCAAATATGAATACAAACTTATACATATTCAAAAATGAATTCAAATAAATGAATAAATAAATAGTTACTAATGAATAAATAAATAACTACTTACAATTACGTAAATAAATAAATACATATAAAAATAAATAAATACAAATAAATAATAAATTAATACAAATAAATAAATACAAATGCAAAGAACTGAATTCAACACTAACAAATAAAGGAATACAAATACTTATAAATAAAAACCAATTTCCCCTGAATTTATGTAAAATTCTCCCCAGTGAGAAAGTCATGATTAAGGGCCTCCCCTGGACAAATACGTCTTTCCTGAAAAATAAATCATAATTATCAGAATCACCAAATGCATTAGCAGGAATGGAATATAATCTATAAACATAAATTGCGTTTACTTAAATAATCAGAGACAAAGGCAGAAAAAATTTACAATTTTAATTAGAGAAATACTGACAAAGGAATTCTGTACTATATTGTTTCAATTATTTTGCACGATTAATCACTTACCTGATATACATCCAGCATTTGGCGAAGGAGGTCACCAAATAGTACTATTTCGACATAAAACCGTGATTTTTCCCTGTGACTTAGCTTGGCATAATGCTTGAGGCAGACATCATCCAGCGCTGTGAAGCCCTTGAACTCATCTGGTTCACTCAACTCCTGAAAATAAAAACAGATAAGTATTGGCAAGTGAAAGAACATTCTTGTTCAATATCATGACAACACTGATACATGTGGATAACAATTTATCTGGTCTGGTTTAAAAAATAAATAACAAACATACTCATTGCAATGTCTGTTTTTTATTGTCCTCCCACCCGCATCCCCAGTTAATATAGAAAAAGAATCATTCAAATAATTGATTTATTTAAATCGTAGAGTGAGCTTTTGTAAGTTAAAACCTTGTGACTGAACGCATATCTGCACTATTTAAATAATATTCTATTTAAAATTTTGCATTTTAACTCAGTGCTGTCTAAAATTTAGTCATCCCGCCTTCAAAGTTCAGGAAGCATTTAATCTCTAATGTAGAAAATGAAAACAACATTCCTTTGCAAAAATAAAAATGATCTGAGAACAGGCATTGCAACACCCGATTCAACAGTCACTATGCTTGTTCACAGAGAGCAGAGACAGTATGCCCATTTAGAACCAACATTACTAATTTCCAATGTGTGCAGAGATTGAACAAATCTTTGCAGCCTCTGACCTTACTACATAACAGATCGAATGCAACAGTGAGGCTCCAAGGAAGAGGGCATCCGCCATTACATTTTTGTTATTAATGTGTTGCATTATAGAACATCAACTTTTTTAAGTTCTTGGTAAGTAAAAAGATGTTTCATTTTATGGATAGCATATTACGTTATGGGAGTATTTGTGAAGGCTACTTTTGTTAGTAGTTTATGTTATTAGTTTATAACGTTAAACTTGATTGCATGAATACATGTTTTGAAAGAGGGCGACGTTAGGAGCGAGTTTTGAAATGTGTACGAATGTAATAAAGCAATAATGTAAACGTTTACCTTTACCTTCCCACGATTCGTTCTCTGCGATTGTCTGAAAGTATGATGATGCAATCATTCGTTCCGTTAAATGATAATACATCATTTGTGCCGTAAAACGCCCGATTGCGAACGATTTTTTGCAAACAGAAAAGGTAGTTTACAATTCTGGTTTTAAAAAAATATTTATTTCAGTGTTACACAAGAGTTTTATTTGTTGTTCTTGGGCAGTGGCCATACGACTTTTTGTGAAACCATCCCGAGAGACATTTTGTGCAACAGCACGTTTGCTGCTGCCACTGTGTTTCTCAAAAATTGCCCCAAACGGAGTTGGTGCGTCGCCCTTTAGGCCCCACAAGACGAGTCTCTCTCACCCTGAGCGTCCATCCTCCGCGCGCGTCCTGCGTGTAGAAGCACTCCGTGCGCCCGGGACGCGCGAGTAGCGCGCGGGGCAGCGGGCCGTGCGTGCGCGTGACCGCGTGCAGCAGCGTGGCGTCGCAGCGCGCGTGGCGGTAGAGCGGCGCGGCCGCGGCCAGCTCGGCCGCCACGCAGCCCAGCGACCACACGTCGGCGGCCGCGCAGAACGCCTGGCCCAGCGCCACCTCGGGCGCGCGGTACCACACGGACTGCGCGGGCGGCGCGCGCAGGGCCCGCTTCGCGCTCAGCGCGTTGCTGAAGTCCACCAGCTTCGCGCGCCACCGTCCAGCGGGCTGCTCCGTTATCATTATGTTGCTGGGCTTCACGTCGGCATGGATGATGTCGAGCTCCTGCAAGCGAGAAACAATGAGCTCATTAACGACTAACGGCATGGTAACTGGAAGATGACATCATATGGTAGTGAGAAGGGGTGAAAGGATGAACACAAATACAACCATGAAGAGAGAGAGAGAGAGAGAGAGAGAGAGAGAGAGAGAGAGAGAGAGAGTAAAAGAGCGAGAAAGAGTGTGTGTGAGTGTGTGTGTGTGTGTGTGTGTGGGTGAGAGAGAGAGAGAGAGAGTGAGAGAGATAGTGTGTGTGAGAGAGAGAAAGTGAGAAAGAGTGAGTGAGAGAGAGTAAGAAAGAGAGAGTGAGAGAGAGTGAGAGAGAAAGAGTGAGAAAGAGTGAGAGAGAGTGAGAAAGTGTGTGTGTGTGTGTGTGTGTGTGTGTGTGTGTGTGTGTGGAGAGAGAGATGGCGATTACGGAATCAGTGAATAATAGACATTGCTTACGTCCAATTTCCTCAAGGCGCAGAAAAGCTGTTTGAGGATGCAGGCAATGTCGCCCATTCGCAGGGCCTGCCCGTTCTGGGCGATGAAGGCCCCCAGGGGGCGGTCGAGGGCCTCCATCACGAGGAACAGCCGAGCGCCCCATTGGAAGGCCTCGTAGAAGCGGACGAGGTGGTGCAGGTCAGGGTTGTGGACGCTGATCGTCGCCAGCGCCTGAGCCTGCGATGCAAGACAAACGAAAATAACCTTCAAATTTCGAACTTTGGTAATGTGAACTTGTGCCTAATAATTTCCAAAGTTACTCTTCACACTTAGTACGCACTAAATCAAATACAGCCTGTGCGAACTGAAGTAAAAGACCTTTTGGGGTTTGTAAGTGAAGAAATCAGTGTCAAAAATATTATATTTTACTATTAACGAGTAGATAGAGTAAAACCACAGGATACGCAGTACACTGTGGTAAAACTGTCTTCAACTTCGCTCGAGATAAACAATTTTTTTGATGAGTCACTGTTCTTTAGCATCGGCGATATAAAATATTTCAATGAATATGCGTTAAGTTGAAAAACATCGCTATTAAGATTAGCACTTTGATCGTTTGCCGTATAAACTATTAATTATACATTATTAATAACTGAGAACAAGTTGCAACAGAGTTCATCTTTGCCGTCATTATACTCGTTTGTATCTTAAAGCATTTGAGACAGATCAAAACTTACCAGCTGGAAGGCAAAATTATGCGTTTGGTAGCTGTCATGTCAAAGAATTTAAAATTTTATAAAATTATAAGAATATTTTCTCCACAATTTGAAGAACATAACAATTTTTGATTCGTCATACTTCGGTATAAGTTCAGAAGGTTTTCAATATATTAAGAATTCGCTTCAAAGTGAAGTCACATATATTGTAGTTACTAATTTTTAATCTATTACTTTACATTTAGTAAATATTGAGTAAAATAATTATTGTAAAATAAGTTTCTTGTATCCAGACAAATGGGTATTGAAGGAAGTCGCAAAGGAATGTAAAGAGCCGACTTCTAAACGATATTAGCAATATAAAGAATTAACAGAAATTCTAATTTTGACTTCTTTTTGAACATATTATTATATTTGTTAAAACTTGATCCAAACCGACCGTTACATAAAAACCATTGCAAGTTGCAATTAAGATTTTATAAAAGTAACAAAAATATTACTATGAAAATTGATTGAAAGTTATTCACACACTTGGGTCCATTAATAATAATAATAATAATAATAATAATAATAATAATAATAATAATAATATTTAAGAAGAGCTCTTCAGTGCTGCTTTCACTTTTCACGATTAACAACACAAATTTATTATGGTTTCTTTCACGAATAGGCTAATTCTAAGAAAATAAGGCTTGGGGATGAAAATTACAGCAATTAAATTTGTTATTTCATAAAAGTCACTTCCCCAACCTTCGAGAAAATGAGGATAACATGACCAATTCATAATTCTGAATATTCGTTTCGCTTTGTTCGGTGTGATATTCGCAATTCGTTAATATAACTTTACTTCGAGCAGCCCACTTCTCCTGTGATGTGGCGTTCTTGAACATGTACGTGCCGAACAGGTGACGCGATTTCGCCTTTTCGAAATAATCGTGTAGATAAGACGTTGAAAGACTGCGTAGATAGGTTTACCTCGTTCATCGCCGCCTCACTCCATTGGCCCTCCAAGCGCAGCACCTTCACGGCCCTCGAACGGGCACTTCCCACTTCCTGGCAGTGGAGCACCTGCACACAACCGCACGCGTCATTCAACAGCCCACAACGAGGTACCCGTGCACGAGATACACACATTGTCTTTGGAAGAGCTTTCAGAATGAACGTGAATTACCTCACAATCAGCATTTCACTGTTTTGCAATATCGTTGCTGAATTATTCATGGTACTATAAAAAGGGGCTTTGGAGGTCAAGTATTGCAGTAAGATTTAAGTTACGGCCCAGTGATGTATTGAAATATCTCAATTTTTTAACAAACTATTTCACGAGTATTTTCAGGAAAAATAATAAATATCTGCAGAGGCTCAAAAAATGTTTCGACGTGTGCAGAAAAATTTCAACCTGCACGAAAGAAAGCTATAGCAATACAATATCTTACCATGCAAGTATAATGAATTGAAGTGTGAGAAAACTTTATATTTATTGAAGCAAAGTTGCATTTTGAAATCCTGCAACCTGTCAAGTAGTTTAAGGTTTCAGAAGTTTAACAAGGATAGATGCACGCGATGGGTACAAGCAGGCGCGCCTAAAGAAACCCAGGGGCATCGGGCAGTTGACCACGGGAGTCCCTCCCTTCCAATGAAAAAATCCCTCCACCCCCAATTCGTTAACACGAGGAATTTCTCCATGCATCAGAAACAAACTAGAGCGTTAAATTCAGATTAGAAACAAATACTTTTTTTTCTTTTGAATAAAAAAGTACTCGGGTTCGTTCCCAATTAAGTCGGGGCCTGCGGCAAGTTGCCCCCCTTCTGTTCCCCCCTGGGTACAAGTGCAGAGACTACCTGGCCGTACACCCCTCGTCCGAACGTGCCCAGCACCAAGTAGTCAGTGCCGACGCCGCGGAGCAGCGAGCCCGGAGCCCAGCTGCTCTGCTGGGCGGCAGCTGCGTCTTGAGCAGGGGGCGGTGGCGGAGGGTCGGCGCCGGCCGTTGCCGCCGCCAACGCCCCGAGGCGGGCCGACAGTGTGGCCGCGCTCACTTCGCGCCCTGGCGGCAGAGGGGAGGCCTCGCTCGCGCTCTCCACGTAGCATGACGGAGGCGAAGGCGGCGGCGGCAGAGGGGAGGCCCCGGTCGCGCTCTCCACGTAGCGTGACGGAGGCGGCGGCGGCGTCGCCGACGGCGGCGGTGGCGGCGGCGAGGACGGGGGCGTGCGCGGGGCACGAATCACCCAGGCTCGCGACTCCCACTGCGTCACCCAAGGTCCTCTGGAGGCCTGCGCATGCCACACGTCACACACATCAGGTCGCTTGGCGCAAGGGGAGCTACAAGCCTAACTAACTGTGATTTTTGCTGCATTAGCGATTTTCATGGTGGTTGCGTATCGTCAAGACAATATCTTTTTTGGGTTAACACTGTATCACCCTACCAATAACACCTACTCCCGTACCACGAATTTTAAATTCTTTAATTTAATATTTTAATTACATTTTCTGAAACTATTATGGTCGTCAAACAAATAGCAAATACACAAAACCAAATAGCAAAGAGACAAATTATTTATCCCTCGGTATAATTGTAGCACTCTGGCTACAAATACACTTTGGGAAAAATAATCTATTCCTTCCCCTTGATGTATAATCTATTTTGATATAGGGCCATGATCAGTTGGTCAAGGATCAATTAATTGAGCAAAGGTACAGGTAATTTCCTTTCTCTTCCTGGGGTTTTCCAGCTCCAGGGGATGTACATTTCGACTATCCGCGCCTGGTACCCACTACGTCCCGCACGGGGACATTTTAACCACTTACACTAGACACACTTGCGGGCTCCTCGGTCTGTGGTCAGCCATCAGACTCACAAGACCTTCCGCAACAACACACACATATCATGAAAGACAAGGAACAAACAACCATGTCCATGGCGGGACTCGAACCTGTGACCCATCAGACCGAGGCGCTGAGTCTGCACACGCTCAAGCTATCCAGGTTGGCAAAATTTCCTGAGCCTGTCCGCATCGCTGTGATCGTTAAGGCAGTAGTGCTGTAACGATCTCGGACCGAAGGATCGCGGGTTCGAGTTCCGCCTCGGTCATGGTTGAATTGTGTTCGTCCTGTCACACCCTAACATCATGTTATATTCACAGTTGCCATACAGTTAAATTGAATAGTGGTCGCTTATGACCTAGATGTAGACGGGACCTTAAATGACGTAAATATATTTTCCAGAGCGACACATTCGCTCAAGAGCGGGTCGGGCATGAGAAGCACAAGCACTCCCAGCGACGGCCCCGGGGAACCCTGCAGAGAAGGCCACTGACCTGCGAAGTGTTGCTGAACGACCCCTCGTCGCGTTGGGCCGCGTCCTCGTGGGCGGAGCGGGTGTCTTCGTCCTGCGCCGCGCGGGGCTCGGCTGGGCCGCCGGCGCTCGCCGCCTGCTCCCGCGACTCGCGGCTCCGGCTGCGGCTGCCGACGACCTGAAGCGCGTTGTCATTTCTACTTCATTTCAACCATCTCCTTTATATTTTGTTATTATTTATTATTGATGAAGAACTAGTTTCTTTGTAGGATTATGTATACGCAGTATAGATTATATTTTTATTGCTTTTCTTTCGTGAATAGCAGTGGTTTCGTGTGCGACAACCAACCGATCAATGCAAAATTTGCGATGCAACATCTAAAGAGTTACTTTACTAACCTCACCTAACACCCGTTAGAAAACATGTATTGTGTGTCATAAGTAAATATTGAAATTATAAAATGTCTTTTACACATATGTTAAAAAACTTTGGTTCGGTTTACAATATTTCTTTCTTCTTATGCTCAGACATGATCAATGGAGAATAAATAAAGAGAAAACACCAATTATTATTTATTGAATTCATATAATTGAAGGCTAACAAAAATAGAAGAAACTACAAAGAATAAATAAAGCTGAAGAACGCGAAAACTACTGTTTTTTGTTTGTTTGTTGAGTTTTTTTTCAAAAAAAAAAAAAATGTACACGACCTCTTCTTAAATTTTTATCTTTTTTAGAAAATGTTTCATTTAAGGCTAAAATCTCTATCGTCAATATTGTACTTCTGCAATGTCAATTTTTCTGCGATTTTCAAGAATTCAGAGAATGCAAAAAATGAGACCGGCACAATTTTTTTAAACTGTCCTTTGATACATAAGATGGGAAAATTTACAGAAAAAAATTGGAGTCTTTTTCCGAAAACAATCATAAAATAATCTACATTTCACTCATTTCAAGTTACACGAGGGTTATTCATATTTTCTAAAAATTGTTCATGACCTTACTTGAAGATGTCTTTTTAATAACATTTCATTCATGAAAAAAATCCTCATCTTCAATATTTAAGTTGTAGGAAGACTACGAAAATATTGTTCACTTTTACAATTTTCCAAAAAAATTCAAAGGGACAAAAAGTATAGAAACAGGAACACTGCATGTGTTTCGTGAATGAACAAAACAAATCTGCGTTTTCACTTTTGGCAGCCCCTTGATATGAGTAGCTGTTTGGTATGGAAAGCAGTTCATGGGCCAGTTAACTCCATGAAGATGCCTGCTACATGCAAAACAATACGTAACTCACGAGAGATTATGCTTTTTGCTATTGTCTGAGTTACGAATTTACTTGTCAACAGCAGTCTTGCAGTAGTTCAATTTTCATTCAGATTTTAATTTAATTCAAAAATTCATGATTTCTAAATGAGCGCATGTTCAAAGAAGCTGCGTTGTAACCGAAGACAAAGACTCTTTCTTCTTCCGAGTAATGTGAACTACCACCATTTATTTTATTTATTAACTGGTTGATGTAGCTTGAATTTATCTGGTACGCCGACGCAGTGCTTTTGGGAGGCTGAAAGAAGACTTCTTAGAAAAGCCTTTTCCCACATAATAGACCGGAAATCGTGATGGAGCACTACGAGAACACAACGGCTGGGAAATAGCCTGAATGTGCTTCGATTCTTCTGTGAATTAAGTTTTGGTTCGAGTTCAGACTATTGTATGTCCTTCACAACATTTCATTTTTCTGCTTTGTTTGGTTTCTGTAATAACTGTTTTTGGCGTGTATGTCAATTTCAAATTTCTAATTGCCAGACTATCTGGGTTTACCGCGTTAAAGATTTCTGATTGTGGCATTCGTTAATGACCCTTCAGTGTGCTGTAAAATAATACAAAGAGTAAGAGGTTCTTCACTGAGATATTCACATAGACAGAATTCGAAATCTTACCTTAATTAGAAAATCATGATTATATCACAAAAATAAAAAGAAAAGAATAAAAATTAGAAAAAAGGAGTATGTGATAAAGAGCATGCCATAATAACAATGTAATAATATACTACAAATTTTAAATTTGTGTTCCATTGTTTTAATTCTATATTTTCTCATCTATAGCCCTAGCCTTCCTCTGCTAATCCAAGACCCGTCTACCGGCAAGTGGTGCGTAAGTGCATCGTTCGGATGCTTTCTACGATTTGAGTGGTTTTGTGCAGCAGTATTTTCGCTGCTGAAAGCCACAGAAATATAATAAATATTATCTAAAAATAAAATATTTTATTTAATAAATAACCTCCGTGCGCAGCCTTCATTCAAATAGAATGCTGCGGAGATATTTGTGTGTCTGTAAAAGTTCTTTTGAGAGGAATAATCAAACACTGATAGAATAAGGAACATTTTTTTATGACAAGATGTTTCAAATGGGAAAAGAACAGACTATACTTAAACCATTTAGGGTCCATGTAACGAAACAAATTGGTATCTCTCTAAATAAAAGGGGAAAATATATTAAAATGGGTTAGTACCTGCTTGCTAGGTACCCGAAGGCATATCCAGAAGTCCGAGACTGAACTGCGAATTTTCAGAAAAGTACTAACATAAAAATGATGCTGGGGTCCGAAAAGACCCAGGGAAAGAGCAATGGCTCTACAAAGCACAAGGCGTGCAACACTACTTAAAAAGCATAAACAAGTGTCACGCGTGAAGAAGATATTGCGCCGGCAGCACCTACCTCCCAATCCTCGTCGATGAGCAGAGAGCCAGGGCTCCGGGAGGAGGGGCTGGACCAGACCGCCGGCGGCGGAGGCGGGGGCGGGGGCGGCGACCAGCGCCTCACGTTGAGGTACAGCGGCGAGGGCTCTAAGGACCCTTCTCGAGCCTCGGCGGACAGGCGCTCCTCCCGTCCCGCGCCGCCCCTGCACACCGGGCTCTCGCCACAGCCAGCGGCGGCGGCGGCGGCGGCGGGGGACGCGCAGACACCCCTGCCCGCAGGACTCTCGGCAGAGCCATCGGCGACGCCCATATCCACCGGGCCCTCGACAGAGCAGGCGCCGGCAGCAGCGGGCGCAGCGAAGGCGGCGGCAAACTCAAACGCGCTCACACACCGACGCTGCAAACGAACACGCCCACGTTCACCATACACCCACACTCAAAGGGCACATTTCTACTCGGCAGTGCATGTTCAGTTATTTCGAGTTCTTGCAAAGAGTTTTTAACATTCGTCTTTTATAGAAATTGTGTCTGTTGTGTCAGATAAAAAAACAAGGAGAAACTTTTTTCTCACAAATTAATTCCCTTTTGAAGAAAGAAGTAGTGGGACGACCTATACATTACATAACGCAAATTTGGATGCCATGCCACTCGCTCTCACCCCGGAACGCAATGGTAAACCGAGCTTAATCCTCCCAATATAAAATAATTACGTAACGCTTGTAAATATCCCCGAATTTATAAAACAGTATAAAAATTATGTAACAGGAATATAATGTGTTAATTTCATTTTGGGTTAGATATAAAAACGTATAAGTAATTAATTACGGATGTTCAATACTTGATATACAAATTAGAAGCAATTTTATTCGTGCACGTAAAACTAGTATTTTTGTGGTTTCTTTTTGCCTGCCGACAACTTTTTCGATAATGACTAAATTTATTTTTACTGTATGAACATATAAGAGAGAGAGAGGGGGGGAGAGAAGAAATTCGCTGCAATGCCGTACCCAGTTTTACCACTAAGAACGCAACACTTGAACATTGACAAAGACTCGACGTGTACCGTGAATTGTGCGCGGGCACAGGCATTCACGCATTCGTTAACCGAATGGAATTTTGAGAGGTCATAATGATCCGCTTTCTTGCCTTTCGCTATCATCTTCTAAGAAAAACTATCGAAAGGATCCGCACTATTTATCGAGCAATAAATCATCGAGTCTGTGCAGGACTCCACTTACTGTCGCGAGAACATTGAGAACGATTATTTGAACAACTGTATTCCGAAATGAATTCTAGAAAATGAGCACAGTTGGTGAAGCTACATTTGCGTGCAATTACATATTCGAGAACAATTTTATCCAATTAAAAATGAACATAAATTAATTAAATTACACCATCTACATAACTTAAATTATACAGGCTGTCAGAATTAGTTGGCAATGTTAGAGGCACCTAACACTACAGCCAGGGGAGAATTTTTGAGTGAAAGATAGGCGAAAACATTTAGGCCAACAAGTCGGGTAGGCGGCGTCGTGGATGAGGCATGGGCGGGAGTCTCCAGCACTAACTTAAGGGGATTAAAGCGATCCTAGTGAAAAGAGTGCATTTTATATCCAGAAATAACGTTATTTGCCACACAAGGCTTTTGTGAGACACAAAGAAGCAAATTACGGTTTCATAGGGGGGAATTTATGTAATTATATGAAATAACTTTGTATAAATTGCAGAAAATAAAATATTTTAGTATGGCATAAACACCCGCCATTGACTAGTTTCTGTACTAGTGTGAACCAATCGCATGGTCAGGGAGGAGAAAAAGGTGTAAGCTTATACATATTATTCGTACAATTATCAAGAGCTGAATTATAAAAAGTAACATTATAGATATTTATTTATATTTGTACAGTTTGTTTAGTTTTATTTTTCAATACTGTTCATCGTGTATCCAGTATGGAAATTTCTGAAGTTGAGAATTATTAAAGCTTAACTAATGAAGATATGCATCATATAAATCTTAAGAACTGCATAATAATAAAACTATTGATGGCCTAAAGAATGTCCTGACCATTGTTCTGGAGAGAAAGTCCTCAAGAAAAAAGTTTCAAGTGATTATGTCTTTTGCAATGCATTGTGCCAGAGGAAATGATATTGAACTCAATATGAAAAGAGATTTAAACGTTTTGAAAATTAAACATCTGATCATTTTAGAGCCATTAAAAACACACGAGGCATTGTTTGACAAAATACAGTGCTGCAGTGAAAAGGGGTTACTATAAAATACAAATAATACTAAAAAACTGAACTTATCGTTCCTCTTAAAATTGGAATTACAATTTATGACCTTTTTCAGAATATTCTATTACAAAAATCCTGATGCAGAGTTCCCATGAACAGGGGAGTTCCTAAAGTCCTATTCAATAATTTTTGTTCTTTTTACTTTTAGCGAAATCCAGTTGTGCATTCACCTATACGTTGTATAGTTGATTTTAATACGAACAATTAGGTATTTTATCAATGATTTAATCCATTTGATTGGACCCCAAAATCTCTTTCTAAATACTTCCTTCATAAAGTCCCTGAATCGAGTAGCTGAATTGATTGGGGCACAGGTCTTTGCTAAAGGATGCTGATTTGAATCCAGTGTAGGATATCATGCTATTGTGGCATAGGAAGCAATGACTATCTACTGTGTATTTTGTATAATGGAACAGAGATATAAATAATTCTGTAATCACATTATCATTGCCCTGGAGTGAAAGTCACCAGCAGACACATGCACAGTAAGAAATACTACTTCACAGAGTGTAGAAATATCTATAATCTCTCAACATATCCCTATTTGCTCGACGAGTGTCATATGAAAGTGATTAATTTGGAACATAGCTCGAAGCATTTCCTTCAGAGCATTGAGTCCACTTTATCCACCAAATTTCAGCATTGCTGTTAATCTGGGTAATATCAAAGGTAACATTTTGCAGGAGGGAGGATCTTTTCATTCCACCGGGAGAAGTAAATGGACCAAGGACCAAGAGGGGTAAGTGGATAGTGCTCTTTGTAAGGTCTCTTCGTAGGACTTTTCACTCGATTTCAATGAAGTGTGCAACACCTGCGGTATTACCGTTCACTACTACTACAAAGCACGTGTACCTCTACCTTTGGGCTGACTTAAGCATATTATTTTGCAGAATTTTCCCATTTGAAATGGAAGATGTTCTTCAAATTGTGCACATTGATTTTTTGGATGCTAGCTTCCCAAGAATAGTTTTTAAAAACCTTTTCAAAAAACATTTTCTTCTTTTAATTTTAAAATTTCTGATTGTGTGTGTCAAGTCACCGTAAGAGCTCATGATAAAAGGACAAACTTAATACACTTCTTATTTCACTAATATTTTGATTAATGAATCTTCTCTCGCTCTACCTTATTTGAATTCTAGAATATGCTATTGTTTAGTTTTTAATATTTTCTTCGTAATCAAACACATTCAATTAATATATAATTGTAGAAATATTTCTGTTTAGTATGGTAACAAAATTAATTGCGACTATAGTTTCACAAGTTATTTCAGCAATCATGCCTCAGATACAGAAAACTTTTTTCAAACTATTATTTCCTCAGCACACAATGGCTAATAATTTTACAGAATTAAGATTAATGAACTGGAATGCTAATGACTTTAAAATAAAACATTCCCTTTTTTAATATTTCATGCACGGACACAAAATTCAAATTGCGTGTGTTAATGTAACATATCTTAAATGAAAAAATGTATATAAATGGTTAAAAAACTTCTAGAAATGATAGATTGTTCTGATCGACAGTGATTTGATTTAATGGCTTACTATAGATGTTTCTTATGTATTTTGCTATGGTAATGCAGAATGCAATCACAGAAATTGCCCATTGGGTTCAGTTTTTGGGTAATCGCATAAGTACTAAAACTACATATTTTTCGCCAATAGCCACATATCATTTATGCTGAAATGATAGTTTACTTTATTACAAGTTGGTGGTCACCAACAATTTATAATATTGTACATTGCACTCAAGATATGAGAGACCAGATGATGCCACAATCAAATTAAAATCCTTTTTAAAATCCTTCATATTGTAGAAATTGTCTTCTGTTAAGGTATGTGAATGTGTGATTGATTGTATTTCAGAACATGATACCTGAATTGATGTCTGTGCCTTGTTTTCATTCAATTTAACTCCATACTAAGCTGGTTTATCTAGATATTTGATATTTAGAAAATCTAAATATCCAATTGTACTTTTTACTTTTTGTTAATACATGTATATTTGTGTATTACAGTAATTTTACCTTATGGCAGGGCCACAATGAACACTGAAATATTGTTAAATGGAGTATGTAAATGGATGTAAATGTTTATAATATAAGTATTGCCTGTCTGGAATTGTTGAGGTGCATTAATAAATAGCAATAATCAATAGAGGCAGTGTTATATAAAAAGGAATAAATACATTAAAAAGAGTATTGTAAGAATATATACTTCATAGTTTTCTAAGTAATACGTTTATTTATTTTGTTGTTTTGGTACAAAGGTGTATAAAACAAATTATTGTTATAAATATTTGAAAAAAAAATATTATTATGTCATTCTGAAATAAGACTTCTATTTCCATGTAACACAGTTTATCATTGCCATAAACCCTATCCCTCTCTTTCTGCTATATAAATAATGGACAACTCCTAACTCCATTTTGTTACGAGAATTCTTTCAACCCACAACACTAATATTAATTAAAAATTAAGCCCAAGTTACGACTGTAACCAGCAAAATAACAGTCATGTATAGCGGAAACTACTGAACCTAGGGACAGATGTATCGTTTTTGAGAAGTTTGTGAGAGAAATTTTTTATTGTCTCTTTCCTTACACTGCTATTCCCATTTGTATTTCATATTCAAGTTAATGATTTTGTAGTGAGAGTTGTTTCCATGTTTTTATGACAAATTTGAAGTAAAAAGTTCTGCATTTCCCATTCATTAATTTTGTAATAACAATTTACGTAGTTAATTCAAGGTGTATACTTCTTTCCTACAGACAACCTAAATTAGCCATGTTCATTCCCGATTACAGATTATTGTACTTAAGGAGAGTGACTGTTGATGTACATAGGGACGTCCCTAGGTACACAGTGTAGTATTAAATTGAATTCAATAGTTTTCAGGATGTAATTAGGCCAAGACACAAAGCAAACACCAAAAGGCCTCAAGCATCAGAAGAAACAATTAATAGAGCAAGTTGTCTGTTGTTGAAGATCATGTGTCAATTCATTGTTGAGCAAGATTTCAGTTATAGAAAAGGGCAAATCTGAAAACTTTATTAGACAATATTTAAGAAACTGCACATAATGATTCACTCATTCAAAATTGATGAAGGTTGTAACATATAAAACCAACATGGAAGACATAAAGTTAAGCTTCCTGACCCCATCTGCGTTTGGTTATTGTTTTTCTTATTTCCTTTTCAAGTTATATTCTAGGATGAAGTCTTTTCTGTTTAAGAAATGATTTTGTTGCATTCTATGAAATTGATATAGAACATAAGCTCCAGAACAAATCTGTTTACTTGTAATTCATAGGTACAAATTTTTTTTTCTGTTTACACATTATAATCTAGGTTAAAGATCCTTTGCTTCCATAAATGTTATTGTGATATTCTCTCCATGAAAAGAGAACGTGCATTTATTCAGTTGCAATGCTTTTTACTTTTCCTACATTTTCCTCACCTCAATCATCATAATCGGCACAATGTACCTACGGACACATTGTACACAAACAAATTATCTCAAAAAGAACTTTATAAAAGTTCTTAAAAATTATTAATCTTACACATAAATAAGATATGATGCATAGCATCCTAAAAAGAGGAACATCAACAATGTCATATTCAAAACAAGAGGGGGAAAAACTTATGGTATGATACTTTCCCTATTCTTAGTACATTTTTTTTTGGAAAACAACTATGTGTACATAATAAGATTTTAATGATTTGTAATTGGAAAACTGACCAAATGTGCAAACTTCACCAAAAATACTATTTCAATATTTTGGAATTCAAACTCTCCATTTTTAATACAACATATTTGCATGCTTTGGGGAAAACTAAATTCGCACATCGATGGCTTAATGCACAAGCAATGAATGCCCATACACATGGCTATTATTTTGCTGGCTATGGATGTAACTTGGGCTTAATTTTTCACTAATACTGGAGTTCTGGGGAAAGTCGAAAGAATTCTCTTAATGAAATGCAATTAGGGATCACCCATAAATTGCATAACTAAAAAAAGCGATAAGCCCATTTTTTAGTTATCATTTTCCGAGATCTTTGTGTACAAAGATTGTAGGTTCATACAAAAGAAATCTCGTGTTTTCCTTGAAAGCAAACACTGTTGCTCCATAAGAACCTGCAGACTTACAAACTTTCAAGCTTGCTTTTCTTGGATCTAGAAGTTATGAGCATACATTACATGTGCTCTGAGCTATCAATTCCATGATAATCAATCTGAAATAATTCTTTTAACTATGCACTTTTCCTAGAGCCCTCATTTAACTAGTTGGAAGGGGAGTGGAGGTTTGGTTATTTCGACGTCAGGTCTATATCAAATCTGTAGTTAGTAATCTGTATCTGTAGCAAAATAGTTTCTATTACATGGGAGCTGTCATTTCTGGAAATTAAAATTTGTCTACCATTGGCTACCATTTATTCAACCAATTTTATTATTTTTAGGAGTGGGGCTAGATGTTCCAAGGCTCATGAAACTTTGTGTGTTTAATCAGTGCTTAATTTATACAATTTTAGATCACAGAACACCCATCTAAATTAATTTATTAGGAATAGTTACATAATTATAATATAATTTAATAATTATTTATCATATTTAATAACAATTAGTAAAAATGATAGCATTGTGTGTAGCTATGTGAATGTAATGATAATTATAGAAAATTAAAAAACATGTTATATCAAAAAATTAAATTTTAATGATTTTTACATCCTATTATTTTATTACGTCCTTAGAAAGTATGTCCGTTGCGTTCTGCCTGAAATCAAATTCTGCATATACTAATACCTACTACTCAACAGCAGGTTCAACTTGAGAAAACCAGGTGCCTGGAGCAGTTGATCCACGGGGTCCCACATTCCAAACAAAAATTCCCTCCTCCCACAATTCATAAATTCCCATTCATAAAAACCCATTATTTATTTCTCTATGCATCAGAAATAACTCGTAGCGTTAAATTTGGATTAGAGACAAACATTTTCTTTCTTTCTTTTGAATGAAAAAAATTTCGCGGTCCCAAAAACGTCGGGCCTTGTGGCAAGGTACCCCGCCCCGCCCCCCTTCTGGTCGTCCCTGCTCAACCAGCAGCAACAACGTGCAGCGAGTGCAGCGCCAGCCGCCCCAGGTGTGCATCACGGGCCCTTGCGCAAGGCAAGCTCGTACCTTGGCGGCGACGGAGGCGAGAGCGGCGTCCGCGGGGCTCAGCGGGCGCTTGGGCGTGGCGGCGGCGGCAGCGGCGGCGGCGTCCTCGGGCGACGGGCGCGGCTCCTCCGGGCGACTCGGCAGCTGCGAGGGAGCGCTTACTCAACGACATGCACGAGCTACGCACCCAGCCCTTTCTTTTCGCAAAGACATGCATAAATACGTTCCATTTCCACAACTTTTAGATGGGCTCTCGGTCAAATACAAGCAAACTGGCATGAATCAGTTCAGCTAACGGTTAACTTCAATGCATGATACATTATTATAGATATTTGTCGCAAATAGAAATTAGCTGCAATTGATTCAAATAAATTTACAAATTGAAAAAAGGGAATTAACAAACATAACATTGATGCAGTAGAACGATTTAGATGCAGCGACATCTAAAAAATTAGGTTTTTTTGGATAAGCGGTAATATGTAATAATATTATTACATTTGTTTGCTATCTTCAATACCATATCTTAAACGAAAACTTAAAACTGCAGAATTTATTTGATTCTTAAATACACACAATTATTTTACTACCAAATACCTAGAACAGTTTGCATTCTAAAGCAAAGTAAGAAAATAGACATACCTGTTGAATGCTAAACAAGGCCATAGTGAACCAATGTCGATCCAATGCAATCTGCTTCCCTGCAACAACTCAACTATTCTCCAAACCACTTATTTCGGAATTACCTGCAACTTACAGCCGGTGTCGCTATTGGCCAGCGATAAGCACCTTAACCCTCTCTTTCTCTTTTCCCCCTCTCCCGCCCGCTCCCTTTGTACTTCGTTCCTTTGCGACACTCAGCGAAACTATTTTTCGCACCCCGTTTTTCCGCCTCTTTGAAGAGGCTAATTTCGTTTCGTTTTTACAGTGCGAGATTTTAGAATGTCCGAACGTATGCCCACGTTTCACTGAAAACCATTAATCAATCAACGTACCAAAGCAATGTAACGGCATTTCCGTAAATCAGATACTTTTATTTGCATATGCAAACTATTTGTGATAGTATTTACTTCTTTTTTATTTCATGTTAAAAATATCTCGAAACCAAACGAAGCATTCTCAGTCGTGCGCACAGGGGGCGGAGCCTCCCTGAAGGGTCTCATTTTAGTTCCGAAAGTATGATAAATTCTTGATTTTAACATTTGTAGCTGACAATTACGAGCGTAATTAACAATACACGAGCTTTAAGGAAGAGTCTCTTCAAAACATCTCCTAACATATATTATATATCAACATATAAAATAAATTGTATTTCTGAATTGTATCATTAAAGTTATAACTTAATCCTCCTTTACCATAGTATGTTTTATTTATTCACTATTAAATATGTTATACTTTAAAAAAAGGTAATTAGGAAAGCGGGCCCTTAAATGTAGTTGTCTCCCTATCTTGTTTTAGGCGGAGCACGTCTAATGCATGCAGTCAATATAGCGGAGACACGCTAATGTTGTTTTCTTCAATTTTTTAATATGATGCATTGCTTTAATATTAAGTTTCTAATCCATATGTCGCTACTAATGCTAGCTTTATATTTCTTATACCCCTAAGATTATTCTATTAAAATTAGCGGTAATATCCCGCGTTGCCCGGGTATTTATTTACCGCAATCATCTATCAGTAAAAGTAATTACTCTAATATGCTCTGCAGAAAGAAAGAGGTGGTAGTTTGAAGGGTTGAAGTTGCTTTTCCTCTTCTATTTCACTTATTCTTGACCTTTTTTCTTTTTTTGGCGAGTTTTTCAACAACGCTAGCCTAAGCTTCTCTTTGATCTGACTCGGTTTAAAAAATGTATATTTCCCAAAATTCAATTCTGATACTTCGGAGACCATCGATATCTGCAATATCGATTATTCAAATTAATTTTAAGTCCTTTGACGGTGTCAGAAGACACCTTTTTTGAATGCTTTTTCAATATTTTCCATATCGAATAAAAGTGAAGTTTTTTGTGTAAATACGAAGGGCGCATAGGTATTCTCGCTTTCTACCAAAATATTACATTTTTAGTCGTGAATTACGAGACTGTACCTTCACTAACACATTTTTTACCTTCCATAAGTTGTAAAATAAAACAGCAACTACTTCAATAATTTGTGTTCACTAATTTGAAACACTAACTTTCCAACCAAAAATTCACATTCTTGGCCACTATGTAATTTGCGCGACATGATCGAATCTTAAACAGTAATGGCATAGAAATGAAAGCAATTTCTACGAGACACGTATTTGCCGAGTGCCACAAGGGAGCTGAGGTTCCACTCGATGACGCGTGAGAAGGGGAGGGTGCGTTGCAGCGCACCTACAGCTTTCGCGGGTTCGGCGGGTCGTGTTCCATCTTGGATATTCATATTCAGGCTCAAGTCGGTACGAGTTATGATTCGATCACCAATACATTCTATATTTGCGGCATGTTTTAGGGTAGTTGGAAAATATTTATGGGGTAGCCTATGGGTTCAAACATTTTTCAATTCGAAAAATAAGGGATACCCTTGTTAAGGGGGCTCTGTTAATATTTCTAGATCTTATTTTTTTATAAATGTTGAGTACAATTAAAAATTTCATTAGAAAGTTTATTGAAGTTATAACAGTTTTCCATACAATATTTAAGAGATGACCCAAAACTTTAATACGTAGCACTACTGAAAGTCAACTGTCGATAATTAAATTGTGACTCAAGAGGATATCTGTATAATCTTACTTTTTAATGCTTCGAAAGTAGCAAATTATTAATATCAATGTTACAAAATAAAGTCAGATCAACATGAAAAAATCATAATTTTTTATATTTAATAGTAATAATAATTACTATATTACTCATTGATATTACACTTTTGACCGATCATAATATTACACTACTGACATCACGTACTTTCTCGCTTTAGATACGGTTATGTAAAACTAAAATTCCGCAATTTTTGTTCGTATCACACATCTCAGCGATCACAGTCATCACTTAAGTAAAATTCATTACCAATCGATGAGCATTGTGCATCGATTATTTATTTTCAAACTAATACATCAACACAAATTCGATAATCGAACGCTGCGTTTCTTAGACCGAGAAACCTTTTCATCCAAAAATGAGAGGGAAATAAAATATGAATACCACACTGCTATGTTACTGCGTTGCCAGTGTCATATTGCCACCTATCTCATGAAAGTATAAGCATAAGAAGCACCGAAAATTTGAATTAGCAATTTCGAAGGTTTTCAAAAGTTACGCAAAACAATTAACATTTTTTAAAAATTGTCTATCATCAATATTTTTCTTAGACAATGTTATTTTTTTTTTGCAATTTTTGATATAGAAAGTTTTCTATAACGTTTTGGGATGGTACTTATAGGACCTTGCCATTTTTATATGCTATTTTGCTATATTTGAGAAAAAATAAAGAAAAACACATTGGAGCCGATTTTGAGAAAAAATATCACGCCTTTTATTTCACGCAAAATAACACGAAAACCACCCACATTTTTGAAAAATTGTTCATGACCTTATGTAAAGAGTTGTCATTAAACCACAGATTTCATTAAGAAAAAGCCATCTATTTTGAATATTGTAGTTGAAGAAAGGTATTAAAATTTTGAACTTTTGAAATTTTTGAAAATTTAACGAAAATGAAACTGCACCATTTTAAGCGTCGTTGACTCTATCCTAAGAAAACATTTTATTATACAAATTTGGAGCCATTTTTAAAGAAACGTTTGAAGGCTTCATCTACAGTACCCATCGAAAATTCAAATATCCATTTCAAATTCACAAAGCCTCGGAGAATATCAGTTTTGCGTGGACTGCGGAAGAACACTCAGACGTTTTGCGAAAATCAACTTTTCAGTAACAATCATCCATAAACTGATAATTCTGACTACACGATATTTTAGAAGAAGACATTTACTACATGTAGGAACAAGAATTATCCACTTTTTCGATATCAGGGCCCCACAAAACGAGCTTTTCTTTCGAAAAATCGCAGTTTTATTAGTAGCATTTCAATACTTTCTCAATACTGCGTAAGCCGTATTCCAGAAAGAAAAAAAGCATATTCTAAAAAATATACTCTACTTGCAACATAATATTTAAAAAATATAAAGTCATTTGAGTGGAAATAATACTAACAGAAATTGGTTTGATCAGAAAACATTTAAAGAGTTATTAGGAAAAAGCAGGCCTGAACGCAACCTAGTTCTAAAGCTCAAAGATCCGAGATTGTAGAGAAATACATAACGCACAGTGTTAATACAGTGCGACCATTTTCTAAATGTGCCAGTCGCGCGGGGGTTTTGGCAGTGACTAACAAGGCCACGGATGACCACACTATTGTATACCCACTCTTCAATACTGCGCATTATCGATCAACGGAAAAATCCATTTAATAATGTACGTACATTTCACTTGCCAGTGCAGTTATCAGTATCACTTCAAATCTATGAAAATGATTAGGGAAACGTAACTTTTGCAGGCAGTTGCAAGAATTTAGAATTTGTGAATAATACCTCTCTCTTGGGTCGTCTTTATTCAATGATGTCATCAAGGATCCTGTTCCATTTCCAGGAACTGTGAAAAGGGAGCCTTCTAGATAAGGTCTTTGTTTGTGCGATACAACAAGAGCTCTTGCTACGATTCGTCATTGTAGTATAAGGAGGTATGACGTTCACTATCCCCAATTAACGCAGCCAATAAGCACTCGGGTCTGTATGACGTCATGCCATCCGTAGCGGTGGGAATTTAAAAAGTGGTCGGAGAGTTCGACGACGTTACATTAATGGCCATTTTGCTGCCTTGCCCTGTACGTACACTTACGTAGGAAAGAGAAAGCATTGAAATGCGGCAGTAAAATATGGCGAGTTTTCGATCCACAAAACTCGTATTGAGAAGACATGACATCGAAATAGAGATAATTCTTGTTTCTAAAATATAGATAATTCTTGCTATGTAGTAAATTATTTTCTCTAATTTGTTGTGCAGTCAGAATTTACATTTTGTGGGATCTTGATACCAAAAAATTGGTTTTGGGCAAAACGTGTGTACATCTCTTAACAACACTCGCACCAAATCCGTTTGTACGATTTTCCTAAAAATTGATATTCCCGATCGATCTGGCCGAATTCGTGGGTCTGCGAATTTCAAAGAAAACTAGCTGACACCCTGTGATTACATTGCATAAAAGGAATTTCTAAAGAACTTTAAAAAAGTTACGACCGAAAAGTAACGCTAAACGGAAAAGTGAATACTCCCAAAATAGTTTCATGTTTTACTCATTCTCCAAAACTGTCTAAATGAGGGGCATTTACAAATTCTGGATCAATTCAGACACTATTCTTTGTGAACACAGCCTTAAATATGTTTGTGGAAATGTAGTTGAAATGTACTCCTATTTTCGCCTACGTGTTGTAGAATATCGCTATCCACCTTAACATTAAAGCGAAATGCTTCACTTATAATCACTGAAAAAAATATTTTTTAAAAGTAACAAATCATCAGACGAACACTAGACATTGCCTTTTTTATATACACTCCATTTTGCATCAAAAAATAATCAATATTCCCACTTAAAACACTCGCTATCTTCGCTTGTCAAATATAACCTCATGAATCAAACATACCTTTATTGTGTACTGTAATTTCATTGCAATTGGAATTAAAAGTGGCATAATGAA